TGGTTTATGCCTACGTATTACACATACACTCGACCGCTTTTTCACTCATCACCGGTGCACTGATAATAATTTAAATTTGATAACCTATATAGGTCCACGGTCGTACAGAAATTGTCACGCTTTTCGGTTCCACTGTGATATAAGTACTATATCATAAAGTATGTACTATGTTAGCAGGCACCTAACATAACCTTTCTCTGTTGACTCGCCGTCGTCGACGATTAGCCAGACGCGTAAAAAACAATAACCCCGTAGGTAGTCGCGATTAACCACTAGAAAATCTCACGGTAATTAGTGCAGGTCTCGTGTAATAATAATTACACCTTAAAATTATAATATTGTAATATATTATTATTATAGACAACGACGAGAAACGTAATGATATCCGAAGAATATTCCGCCATCCGGCACACGAGATACGAGCCTGTAACGATGACTATATTAATCTATATTTCGCGTCACATTCTGCAGAAGTCTGTTCACAATAGTATATTATGTACTTTATGATCGAAGTCGTATAGAACACGTACAACATTGTAAATATACCGGCGCTGTACCGCGGTTACCGGTGACGGTAAATATGTGTAATACGGTTTTGTGCACTTATCGATTCCCCAAAATTGAATATCAAATATGTTGTTATTATATATTATTATTGTTGTTATTATTATTCCACTGCCGCCGCCGCTGCGTCTCTGCAGCCATGCTCACGCACCGTCGTGTGTCCATTTATCAAAATACCAGTGCACTTATCAAATGATTGGATCGGCGAACACAATATTATTATCGTGTCGGATTATACACTCGCGCCGAGGACCTTATACGATATTATTATGATATTGACGTGCCGTTTACGGATATCTCGCGCACGTGGTACATAATAGGAAAGGAGGAAAATAAAAGAAAAAAAATTATATATAAAATGACAAGTCACAAATTGGACGGTATATAAACGCTGTATATTATTATTCGATATTATTTTTCTCGGTCCCGGTCGGTGGGGTTGTATATATATATAAGTAATAAGTATATATGATGCGTATATATAGCGCGCACACGCCTACGTCTCTCGGGGACCTCTAATGGACTCGTTGGCCCAAGTCTCGTACCCGAAGATAGACGATAATATGTATACATATTTATTATTTATAGAGTCACTGCCCAAACACATGTTATATACATATCATAATATATATATATATATATAGATACATACCTATACGGACGACCGTTTTCGGTGCTCACCGTCGTCGTCCAAGACCGATCCGATTATGTTGGTGAGCACTGTGCGCGTTCGCTTGACGTCCGGTCCACGTACAATATATATTTTATTATTATAATATTGACAACCGGACAAGTCGTTTCGTCCGCGCGATCGGTTATGCATAATATGCCTACGCTGTCCGTGGTGATGTATATTATAATATACTCGAACCACGGTACATAAGTAGCCGCCGCCGCGTCAGACGTGGGTATAATATGATATGTGCGTATTATTGTATACGGAGGAGGTACCTATTATAATATTATAATATTATCATGCTGTCGAGCGTACTTCGGCGGCGCCCGTGGAATTCCTGCGCCAGAGAAATCAATCGCGCGACAGCGGAAGCAGACCCGAAAACGGATCATGAAATCGTTACACAACACCACGACCAGAATATTATGACCGTTTGATTGTTTGAAATATCCGTAGCTAGTATCATTATTATTATCATCATTATGTTCGCCTCGTGAAATAATATGCGCGCGCCTAAACATAAAGCGATGTATAATTTTATTATTATTATACGAGTGGCGAACGCGGTTTTCGTCAAACAATAGGCTTGTTTAGAATTTTTTTTTTTTTGCGCGTTTCGAACGACTACTAATGTCTTATAATACTATCTGTATATATATATATATATATATTATAACGTTTGCTGGCAGAGAGACCTACTGCAGTTTAGAACAATGGACAAACTTTTATTATATATTATATTTTGAAGGAAAAAAAAAACTGCGTCACTATACCGCGGTCTATTACATATTATATTATACTATGCGAGATATATTTAGATACTTTGTTCGCCGGGCAATAAAAATATTTTGTACACTGGACTGCATAATAATATACAGGGCGATCTAAACATTCGATTGACGGCCACGATGATGATATGGTATTTTTCCAAACTCCAGACGGCTACGTCCTGTACGTAGAGACGGCGCTACGTGATCGGAGACTCTTGCTGCAGATGTAGATCGAAAATAAAAGGCCTGTTCGAGTTCTGCTGAAAAGGAGGAAAACAAAATATCATCTTTGTAGACTATATATAAACCGTCATAGTTTCACGATTCGTGCGCGTCACAAAAGAACCATCCTGTGTGTGTCCTGTCCATATATTTTTGCATTATATACCTACTATTATATTTTATCCACCTATACCTGACCATGGTCGCATCGCCACTGTTTGCCCCGATATTCCAACCAGAATTTATTGTATTTTATATTAACAACGCTATTGTATAGAGTTTGAAGCGTATAGAACTCGCTATTCAATCCTTTCGTCGTTTCCCGATGTTCGCTCAGTTTAGGGTCGTCGGGGGATGAAAAATAAAAAGCCATAATATACAGAATATTATATTATATATCTTATAAAACGAACCTATGTGCACCTAATATAAAAGGTGGCGTCGTTCCGTGATGCGTGCACGCCAAATCGACGCGTTTAATGGACGCTTTTATGTAGGTACCTATATATTTTAATACTCTAATATGTCTCCACTATATAAAAATATTTCAATAGCTTAAAACCTTTTAGGGCCAACGAGAAAATATATATGTATGTATAAACTGTGTAGTCGAGTGCGTATATTGTAAACGAATTTATTTTTGAATGACATTTGTTGTGAAATTTGACACCTATCGTGTATTTAACACGTGGTTTTTTTTCTTATACCACTTAGCGATTTTCGTTTTAACCGTGTACATGTATATATACGTCGAATATATTATATACAGGTATAGTGGTATCGATTTACCGTGTATATGCCAGTATTCCGAGGCACCAGTATTTTTAATACTTTAAGCGTTTTACCTTATACGACGGAATTATATATATTTGAAATTTTTGTCTCGTCATAATCTAATATAATATGTTATTTCGTTAAATACCTAAAATATATTTATTGCATACAGTTGTCATTTTTTTTTTTTTTTTTTGGTCATACAATCATTACCCGAGCGATGAGGTCAAAACACCTGGAAACGCATATAACGACTAATTAAATAAAACGGTAATTACAGGAAAAGGGCGGGGATTATTGTTCGTGTTTGTCTCGGGAAAACGGGTCTAAATGTTGCCTGCACCGCTCACGAATTCATTGTACAACACATTTTTTTTTTCGGCTGCAGACGTTAAAATGCATCCGGCAAACGGCCGGGCGGTAACATAATATAATATACGAAAAAAGAAAAAATGGAAATGATTAAACATTGAATTTTTTTCGTTTACAAAGATATTTCGAAACGTTCGTACTAAATTAACTGGGCATTCCTATCTATATACACATAGTAATAATATTACACATGTATAGGTAGCCTACTGCAGCAGCATAATATAATATAATATAATATTGTGTGTAGGTACCCTCAGAGGTCTACTCTGCCGCTGCAGTAGCCGTTATACATTTCGAACGGACGACAGCTTACAACGCGCACAGAATTGTATTATGCTAATGCGGCGGAATGTTTTTAATTCGAATACAAACATACCGCGCGAGGCCTAATTGATACAATAATAGTCCGGACGAGAAGAAATCTTTTCGACTTACAACCTTTGTTAATTATCATAACTACCGGGCGGCGGCGCGTGTATTACAATATGTAATATTGTATATATATATATATAGGCAACGTACTATATTAAACGGCAATGTGTGTATGCATATAAGCACGTTAACCGACCACTGAAGTTATACCTCTGGTACTTACATGTAATAGGTAAGTGCCTATACTATTGTGCGCACGTGAAGTATTTATGAAGGGCACGCGTATTACGCGCACCATAACGTGTATAATGTGTACACGACAAACAATAATAATATTATATTGCCATTATAATATTTTGTGGTGTGCAGTACACAAGTCGCCTGCAGTCGTTCAAGCTCGTTTAATAATGTGTATAGGTATTCGCAAAACGTTTTTGGCGAGGCAAAATCTTCGTCGTCGTCGATAATCGATATTGCGAAATATATATTTATTCTTTCGCTGACGACATTATTATTTTTATATTCAATATTGTTGGCGCACGCGTGGTCGTGTAACGCCGCTAGGTTTTATTCGTTATTTCGAAATCCCGAAGCGATCAGTTATACTTCGTAAGTATATACATCCAGTTGGGTCCCGAACATATTTTGTCGGGGCCGTCGCACCAAACAATTTTGGAAGGGTGGGTAATATTGTTGAGATGTAAAAATATCTCTATATTTAACTATCATTATCGAATAAGTGAAATGTTGCAGATTTTAATATTGGGTGTGATAAATTAGCGTTATTAGATTATACAATGGGCATATTATATTTTACTGATTTACTCTTTCAAGTCAACACAAATAGATAACAAATCGTTAAATATTATATTGTAGGTACTCGTGTTGGTTATTGGAAGGTATACGTTATACCTATACATCTATATGTTAATTACAGATATTTGAAAATGAGTATGAATATAGTCGAAACATAATTATTCGTTGGTTTTAATTTTATGTATGGGTAGCTACAATGTCTGCCCTTATTCAGGACAAAATGTTCGTTATGCCACTATACACATACATCGAAATATAACCCGTTACCCGAACCTCCGTAACGATTTTACCTCGTCGCGCATTTTTATTGTATTTATTTCGCTCCGTCCGACGTTCATTATTTAGCACATTAGCATATTATAATAATATATAGTAAATAATATAATATAATATATAAAAGAGAACTAATCCGATTGTTTTTTTTTTTTTTACAGTCCTTGCAGTCGGCTGCCCGTAGAGCCGGGACGAGCTGTGCGAATTGCAAAACGTCCACCACGACGCTGTGGAGGAGAAACCAAAACGGCGAACCCGTTTGCAACGCTTGCGGTCTCTACTACAAACTGCACAACGTAAGTATACAGAAAACGTATTTTATTTTCCTGCACCTCGGCGCATACAATGCCCACTCGACGTGCCGTGTACGTACCTATTTATAAAGTATATAACAAACTGCGTCGTACACTATGTATATTATTATTACATGCTATAATATGACCTGCAGCTGCGAGGAACGCTCAGCTTTCTCGAGATACGTGTGTAGGTACTTGCTTATTGCCATTATGGGTGTATAACGATGGCCAGCGCACGCGTACCTATATTTCTTAATGTTTCATTGTTTTCTTAAACTTAAATAAGTATATGAGTGTTTATTATTTCATCGGACTGCAAAATTTAGACGAAAATTGCTCAGTCTAAATAAACATATTATAATAATTGCGATGCGCTGGCTGTATTCGAAAACTAAGATACTTCGATATTTTATTCGATGTGCGTGCGCAGTATAATATATGAATACGTCAGTGTATTGTTATTATATTATATTTTATATTTGCTATATTATACTCGAGAGTATTCTGCTGCCTATTTATTAGAGTTGCACAAAAACTACCCTTTCACCGTCGTTATTGTCGTCGTCGTCGTCGTATCGTCGCGTCCGTTCGTCCGGCGCCAACCCCGTCGTTTGTGTATAAGCGTACATTATGATGATGATGATGATAATAATAATATAGTGCAGCAAACCGCGCCGAGAGGGTTTTTGGCGCTATATACTCACCGACGACTTCCGAAACGCATTTAGGCGCGTAGAATATGTATATACACACCCCCGGGGCCGGTCTCACTCCCTTTTTTTACTTTTCCAACCGACATTGCAGGCGGCAGCGCTACGCACCCGTTTCGGCGTACGGTATTTACAACAACAATAATATAATAAGTAACCACGTACCCCGTACGAGGTATAAATATAACTGTACCGCCGATTTATAAACTAGACCGTTTAATGACCCGTTCGGTTTCGCGTTTTTTTTCACCCTTCATATTATAAACTCTTCTCAAATCGACCGCGTGCACATGCGAGATTCGACTGTTACACAATATTATAATATTATATATTATATTTAAACGCACATGCGTCATCGTCGCTCGGCGTAAAAATATATATACCGAGATTCGACGATTGTAATCAAACGGCGATGAAGCTGACGACGTTGATAATACTACAGTAATAATATATTATTATGACGTTTAGTTGGCTGGCGCGGGGGGGGAGGAGAGCTATATTGTATATATTTAAACACGCGCAATTAGTCGACGCGGTGCATTAAACGTGCGGGGATGCTGCTCTGACCCTCCGGGCGCCACGCTCGAGGGCCGACGACGGACTAATTGGAGAAAATATGCACAGAAGTCACCGAAATCATCGTCGTCTATTAAACAGTATTTTTTTTTCGATCTCTCCGCAGTACCAGCTATGTCCATCTATTTTTCCGGGCTTCGATAGCTATCGCCGGCCGAGCCACGTAACAAACGGTGTCGTTTCATATAATATATATACATACAATATGATAATATATATATATAGTTTTCAAACAGCTCGCCGTGTGGTCCCGTTTACACGACCGCATTATAAGTACGTACACACATGCACATGCACACACACACGCGACAATATAATAATAATTGCCTGTATCGCGCGCTTGTGCGTGTGTATAATAGACGCCAGTGCAAAGACAATGACGGATCGGAGGAGAGAAAAAAAAAACTGAGAGGGGAAGAGCATAATATATTATAATAAAAGAAAAAGAGAAATATTTACAAACACCGCCGTCGTCTTTGTCGTCACGAGTGCGTGCGAATATATCTTGACATCCTCCGACCCGCAGCCACGTACACCGTGTATTATATTATTGTTGTACACCGTGTACATAACCATAATACCATAACCGCGGCCGCGTTTCCTGCCAAAATCTGCCGAGTATATATACCCGTCGGTGTATATTAATTTATTTTCTTCCGGCGTCGTATACGATGACGATATCCCACGGGGGCAATACCAGAATATAATAATATAGAATGTCGTGATCGGACGTCCGCCGCCGGAGAGGGACGTTTAACGAAAAAAATACGCGACGTGCATGTGTGTATATGGACTACGAGTGTTCACTCGGAAAACTGATGAAACGGAAATATAATAATAAATATATACGATGATGCAGGCTGGTTGCACGATGTATACACACATAGAAACCGTGACCGATTATATTTGTATTATTATTTGAATATAAATATACTAAATAGCGTTTGATAGAGTGTGCGTGTGTGAGCGAGTGAGCGCCCTGATGCGGTTTTGACGTGGTACCAGATACACTGCACCGGGACCGCCCGTCGACATGTTTTTATTATATTATTATATACGGTGCTCGATTATCTTGTTACGACGGCCGAAACGCCGTTGTTTGTCATCGTCCGATAAAAATATGTCGTCCCTCGACGAAGACGTTGATTATTAAATTATTATTCCGATAAAACATTATACACGGTCAGTTTGTGATTTTTTTCGTCGTCGTGTGTGCGCGTATGTAACACGCCGTGCGAGGGGTGGTCTCGAATATATTAATTTAATATCGTCGTCGACGACCGGCGTTTTAATGTTAAAACAATGTTAAACAAACCGTCTCGTCGTCACGGGTCGCCGCAGCTACGATATTCGGAGTCGAATTCCTCGGATTTATAGTATAATAATATATAATATTACACACAGCCGACAGCCTACCTGTAGGTACCTATACATACATACCTATAACAATATACGATATCATCGATACACATTATTCCACGTCACGGCTCGTTGTTGGGTACATTTTCTGTGGATGACTCGTCTCTCGCGCCGCCGCCTTAGCGCCGCCTCGGTCTCGTGCCCGATAATCATATTATAAAGAGCTCTGCGCCGGTTATAGAAAATCAGCAATCACCAAAGCCAATCGGCCAATGATTTAGGTACTCATGTTCGAGTAGTAAAATGATTATGTTAGAATGACCGACCTGCACAAGCAGAATACGTCGGTGGCTATACCCTCTTTAGATGCCTAAGCGGAAACTTTGCGGGAAAGGACGCCACTCTTTTCGATTCGATTTCGTTTCACACGCTCCTACGTCGTTTTAGTCGTATCGGTTTTTCACGACGTCCTCGAAAGTATTATTATAATAATATGAGATAATAATAATAAATTATTATATTCCCTATATAACATCTATACACGCGTATATTCGTGGCTCAGGCCACGGCGAGAAAATCAATTCCGTCGGTATCGACGGCGGCCAACTAGAGATCGTTGTAAATAATATAATATCCAGCTACATATTAATATTATATTTTAACAATGACGAACGGTACCGCCGTTGAAGAGGATAGGCGCGCACAACAATAATATTATTATTATAACCCGAGACAATGGATCGCGATGGCGCTCCGCGGGTGCCGCGACGTCGGTCGAAAACCGCTAATGACTAATTATTATACAACGTAAACGAAAAGTCAAATTATGTAGTGCACCCAAATCCCCTACCGCGGGTCAACACCTCTAGAACGTCGGCCGGGTCGCGTATTATAGATAGTTTTATTTTTCTCTCCTCTCTCCGAGGTCCACAGTATATTATAATCGTAGGTACCTCAAATAATAATAACTATGATGATGATAATAATTTCATATTATTATCGTTAACCGCTCTCCGCGTGTACTCGGCGGCGGAGTGAAGAGGTGTACGACCGCCGTTTTCGTCGACCCCGACGGCGGCTTTCCATTGTGCCCGCGGGAGAAAGAAAAAAGAAACATAATATTATAATATAGAACCGTTTCCGTCGACGACAATCGTTTACGCAATCGCGTACCGTCATCGTCACCGCCGCGCCCATATATTATACGCCATGGTGCGCCGAAAGGTAAAGCCGCGGGGGTATAAATCCATTCATATACGAGTATAGGTATAACTATTGGGTAACGGTGAGGTTATTTCGCCGATTTTCGCGGGGGCGTAGATCGTTTCCCGAGACGGTTTCCCGCTAGCGATCTCCACCGCCGCCGCCGACACTGCTTGGCGTATACATAACACAGCTATAGGATTTCGCGGTTTGCGTGAGACACAACCCCTAACCCCAACCACCCTAACCCCATCCCTCCGTAGCGAAATCCGTGTCGTGTGTACGCACACATTGCCGAGATGTTTTACAAACACTTATTCGGTGCGCAGTGGATGGTATATATACACACGTATGTACACGAGTGTCGCAGAATCTCGGAAGTCCCTCTCAAAATACACACACGCGCGTCGTGTATATATATGTTTATCGTGTGTCGAGGGTCGTTTTCCGAGAGGGTGCCTCCGAGAAAATATATACATTTTAACATTATACGACGAGCACACACTCGCGATCTCGGCGGATTATATGGTACAACGTTTTTAAGTGCGTATCAATGGGAATGGGCGTATACCGGCTAGGCCGGCGGCAGCTGATGCAGCGACGATGTGCACTGCTGCCGCAACAATAAAAAACCTATTATCGGCGGCTATACGAAACAGTATACGCGTGCACAAAAGACCGATATAATATGTGTATACACCACCGGGGCCCGACCAGCAGCAGCAGCAGCAGCAACAACAATAATAATTGTAATAATATATTATATAAATAATAATAATAATATGAAGATTGATACTCCATAAAGGTTTTTTTTTTTTTTATATAAACGCTGGTATTGTGTCGTCGACGGTATTTCGTTTGACACGATAATGCGACCGTCCTGCTCTTTATTCCGGCGTTTCTTCCGCAAATCGATTACCATTGTGCCTGGGCCGCGCAAAGCGTTCGGCGGCGCGTACCGATTCCGTTATTATATTATATTGGATTTGGCGAATTAGCCTCACTCTCGGGACCCGGCGCAGACATCATGTGTGACGCGCGACGTTGTGTATTATAATATAATCATATTATTATATTACAATAATACTTATACGTTCTGGTGCGTATATCATAGCACCGGATTTAAGAACGCATACCGTTGTGGGCCCGGTGACGAAAGACAGCGCTCGAGTGCAGTTCACCAGAGCACCGCATAGTGGCTGCGACCGTTGAGAACGTATTATTGTCTGTTGGAAATATAATATATAAGTGTAAAATATCCGCACTGAAATCCAAATTTGGTTTCAAAATTAATATGGCACATCTGGGGGCAAACTAAACCTCCGCCACACTCGTCCGCCGCAGGATGCATTTCAGTATATTGTTATACTTATTTATAGTTACGTTTTGTAAACAATATTATCTATTTTAAGATGCGGTGCTATACGTGCTCTTATAATCTGTAAACGACATATTACTCTGTTGTCGTGTAAACAGTCGACGATTTTCCTCGTCATAAAATTATTACCAATGATCGTCATTTCTCTATTTCTTTGCTGCAGGTTAACCGGCCGTTGACGATGAAAAAGGAAGGAATACAAACACGGAACCGGAAGCTGTCTTCCAAGTCCAAGAAGAAGAAGGGTTCGATAGTCGGTGGCCTGGGCGGCGGAATTGGCGGCGGCATCGGTGGTGGCGGCGGCGGAGGCGGTGGCGCTTGTCTGTCGTTGTCCGGCATGATGCGCGGCGACGGCACCGGCGCGGGTTACCACCACCCGGCGTCCGCTGCTCTGCACCCGCATCCTGCGGCCATGAGCCACTACCATCACCACGCGGCCGCTGCGGCCGCGGCCATGTATCACCATCACCATCACCAGGCCACGCAGCCGGCTGCACCCACCGCGCCCATACACCCTCACCACCACCACATGGCGTCACTCACCGGACTCGGGTTGCCCACATCGTCAAACGCAATGGTAAGTACAATAATTATAAAACTATAATATTCACTCGAAAGTCGAATTACCTATGTGAATATCGGATACATTTTGAAGAATTTTGCTTCGTAGTCTATTATAGCGGTGGCAAGTTGAAATAACAGCTCTCTAAAAATTGATTCAAAAAACTTAAATTTTATATACCATCATAATAGTCTGATCAATCAGAAGCTGCAGTAGCTGATAATGTATAACAACGTTTACTGCATTGCTATACGCTCCCATTTTCCTTTCAATAATGCATTCGTTGAAACTCTGAATTAATTGAAGTATACATATTATTAGACCATGTTTTCAAGTACGTGCTTAATTACTTTTTATACTTTATTTTTTATAGTTATTACCGTAGTGATACAAACATATTTTTATTAAGTAACTCAAAAAACATAGAATCAATTTTCAAAAAAATCATTGCAAAAAAAACAGATTGATATTTCTCATTTAAAATTAAATTAATTGATAATATGGACTCTGTATAACTACCTATATATACTTGAAAATATCCAAAGTAAAAAATAATCCAAGAAATGCATGAAAAAAGTTTGGGTGAGCATACTATTGGTGAATCGCCGCCCGTATGGAATATTATAATATTAATAAACACAATACTGACAATGGGCGGGGTAAAAGGGGGTTAAATATTATTGCTATAATGCTTTTGTCTCGTTTGATATCTGTGACCTTTGTTGACGGTTTTTGTCTTTCTGTTTGTCCATCTAGGCTAGTTGGAGATCCGAGTACGCGTGATTATTGGATTTGCCGTTCCCCGGGCACTCTAACCACAGCAGGGTCGGCGAATGACAAACATTAGTACTACACATTATTATTATTATTATTATTATTAATATTATTATACTACTACTACTACTACTACTATCAATATTATTATCATCATATTATTATATTATATACATATTACATAATATACATATATACTCATAGTTCCTATTAATATTCCCTTCAAAAGATAAGCCGAAAAATATGAACACACACACACACAGACATGCGCGCGCAATCGCGCTCACATATGGCCAGTATACATATATTATATGTATGTATGTATGTATGTATGTAAGTATAAGTATATATTATTATATAGTCTTCGTACGTTGTCGAGCATTATTATTATTTTTAAGTATAATTATATAATATTATATTATATTATTATTGTTTCTCGTTTCGCATATCGACAAATCCATATGATGGCCGTCGCGGATTTTCGTTCAAGAATATAATATAATGTATTGTTTCTTAATTTTTTTTCCTCCTTATTTTAAAACTTGAAAAAACCACAAAAAAATATATGATATATAAACAAAGGTGAAGTATGTAAACGTTCATTTCTCTTTTCGCCTATAATGCCCATTTATACATATTTATATACGACGGCGATGTAGTGTTTACTCGAAACAACCAGTTTTTATTTTATATATATTTTTTTTTTTGAAACGCGCGTACAACGTCTACATCAATGTAAAACGCATATTTTATACGAAAAAAAAAACAAAAAATAATAATAAAAAACAAAAAATATATATATAATACAAATAGATGAATATTATTTATGAGCTAGTCGAAAACGTGAACTTGTACAGAAAACGATGTTTAGAACTCAGATTTGTATATAGTATATATAATATATATTAAGAGATAATTTATTATAGTTTGTAAAATTTATTAAATTATGATTTACAGAATATATATCATATTATATTAAACGATTATTACGATGTAAATAAATTTATACATATATATATAAATATAAATGTGTGTATACCGTTTGATGTAAACCGAGAAAAGCTTTGTACATACGATATTTAGTTAGATTATTATTATTATTATTATTATTATTATTATTATTTTAGAAACATTAAACGATTTAGACAAACGAGCGGCCTCATGTTTAATGTTACCTAATACCTATATATTATATCCATGTCCTAATAATTGTCCTCGTACGTACCTGCAGCGTTTGGCTACAACAATATTTCTCAATATTAAGAAATCTGGTCCAAGTCCAGACAACGAACGTAAGACCTAACGTAAGTTGGTCGTAACCTGCATGTCTGTTATTTTGTTCCTGCTGGTTTTATTATCATCACTATTATTTGAAAAAAATTTCGAACGTCGTAAAGTATCCAAAAACTAACACTAACTGCAGCACAACATAATAATATGGTCATCAGATTCGTCAGATCGTCGAAGACACTGAAGTTGTGGTCAAGTTGTATAAAAGTCAATATAGTATATACTAGTAAGTACTCGAAAATCCTCAAATAATTTTAAGACCGTGATATTTACTTTCATAATTATCTCCTCCGGGGACTTACAACATTTGACGTACTAAACGCCTTCAGGTGTAGTCTGTTATATGTTTTGCCGTACAACAATATAGTATAGAGAATTTTAAATATCCAACTTTAATTTTAAATTTTTTTACGAATATTACGGTCAAAAATTTGGTTTTAATTGTATACGGTTTATAGTCTATGCAGTGAACTCACATGTTAGGCACCTATGGAATTTTCCCAAGACGTGGAGGTCGACTGCAAGGATAATATTATGATTTTATTGTTTGGATTGGATTTATTACTAGCTTAGAAAAAATACACAAAAATAGCGTTATACTATATGGTAATATATTGTATGTCTCTGGACATTAGGTAGGTATATATATGATGCGACTCGACGGAACCACTCGGCGTTAATCTCTACCGGGCGGTAGATATGTGAAATGGACATTTCGTGGAAAAAAGCTTGCGAGGTAAAAATTGCAGATAAAAAACCACTCCTAAAAATAATATTATGATGTTATATCGCGTCGCTCGGCCCACGACCATACGAGAGACCGTGCCGCTGCAGCTGGCCGCATATCTCCTCCGCCGCGGGGCTTGTGTGCTGTGGTTTTCGGCGGTAAGTATAAAAAACGAGTAAAAAATATACAATAAGTGCGCGTAACTCGTAGGTTATGCCTCCTATACATACGTATACACACACACCGTACAAACGCTGAAGTCGCATTGACACAGTGCCAAAATAAAGCTACACACACACACACTTACACTCATGTGTATATATATATAGGTACCTACGTTTATTATCGCGCCGGTCGATCTGCAGACGGGCGGCGGCGGCGCAGACCTCCAAAGATGAAGACGAAGCGCGCGAGATCCGCCCGATAAGTATACCAAGTATATTACCTATAATATATATGTGCATTAGAGCAGTCGGACCTGAACGGATTTTACAAGTGTGCGTGCGTGTGAAGTGCCGTGTAGACGTGCTGCGGCTTGAGTAAAATGTGTGTGTGACGTACATATTGTAATATATGGGTAGGTCATATACACTGCGCAGCGCATCGAGTTGACAATATCCAATTATTGTTTTTTTTTTTGATTTTTCGAAATCGAATTCTTTGGAATTTACATGCAGGGTGTCCCCCGAGGAGATATCCCCGTTAGCCGTAGAAGAGTATTCGCCGCCCGGACGAAATCCGGTATTTTGCCGTTTTTCAAATAAAGTAAAAAAAATCGTTAAAAATCATGAGATTGATGAAAATGATAATGTGTTGAAAAGTCAAAAAGTCCACAAAAATAAACTCTATAAAACGGCCATCTTCAATTGTTTCAAAAAATAAAACATGTGTCCTTGCCTCTGTGACTCTTATAAAAAAAAAAACAGATTTATGATATATTTATTATCTCAGAAGATATCACAATATTGGTAAATCATCTTCCCGAGATACCTTGCAGTATATACAGTGTGTTCACTCTAAAAGGTACCACTAAATATTTCAGTTCGATGACTTTGTATTGAAATGGGGTTTTCTCTGAATGACAGATAGTACCTAAATACACATTTTCAGATAAATTTCAAATTTTTATGTATAAAAAGTTTTTTTCTAATTACAAAATTGGCATATGAAATTTAACGATGAAGTTTAATATTTACTAGGAATAAATGTACAACGAACAGGAATCATACTATCTTAATTACTGGCAAATGTTGTCAAAGATGTTTTTACTATTTGATCTGTGTGCAAACCGGTATTTAAAAATATTAGATATTAATAAGTAACAATAAGTTGAATTTAGTTTAGATTTTGTCAAAAAAATTACTCGGAAATATAAAATTTCATCGTTAAATTTCATATGCCAATTTTGTAATTAGAAAAAAACTTTTTATACATAAATTGTTTAGAAAAACAATACTCTATCCGAATATTTAAAAAAAAGTTGATGTTGCCATTTAAAAAAAGGTAAGTTGTATCGCATCGTATCGAAAGAGTTAAAAATTTGAAATTTATCTGAAAATGTGTATTTAAGTATTGTCATTCAGTGAAAACCCCATTTCAATACAAGGTCATCGAATTGAAATATTTATTAGTACCTCTTAGCTTGAACACACTGTATATGTAGGTTGTAAATACGTAGGTACGATTGTATTATATATATTATGAGGTACCTAATATATATTATAAAATATAAATCATAATATTAATATAGGTATATATTAGTTAACATTCGACCCTCCACCGGAATTTTCGTCGTCCTGACGCATTCCTGCTCTTACATGATATTCTATTATTAATATATAATATTATTGTTATAATACTACTTAAGTTTGGACGTTTCAGACGACAAAATTACATTGTTATAATAATTATTGTAGAGCTGCACTTTGGGACGCAACTGCGATTGGATTTTTACACAGATTAAAAACTATTATTTATAATAATATAGGTACCTCACAACAACAGCTACTATATTATAATAGTATATCCTCAGTGGGTCGTGTTTTCCAAGTCTGGGCCGTAACTATAGTCAAAAAGTTAAAATATTGTAGTTATAACTTATAAGTATTTCGATAACTTTATTAACTAAACTAATTACTAACCTAATAAATAACTACAATAGTTAGTAACTCGATTATACATCTGGTTATGTATAATTTTAATTCATCATAATTATTTCTTGCTAAAATTTAAATTAATTCTATAATGTTTTTTAAGTATTTTTATAAAAAACAAATACAAATAATATATTAAACGTACTACTACATAATTAGTTTAAAATAAAATTTATAAAATATAAAATACCACCGTCGAGCATAGCACGTAGAGCAATAATGTTTAGTGTTGAAGATGAACTGCTGGACGAGAGAGGGAGGGCCAATACTGCAGCTGACCACAACTTCGAAAAAAACGAAAAGGTCGGAGTGATCAATTTTAAGTAGTAGTAAACACCAAAACTCCACCGTTTTCAAATTTACACTAACTACAAATACGATGGTGAGTGGCTTAACAAATGTAACTTTCAACTTTAAGCTATAAGCTTAGTTAATAGTTCCTAATAGTTCCCTAAAAATGTGTGACTTAATTTGGTCACGTATATGTTAGGCACTCACTCAAATCAATGTATATTCAGTCGACTTTTTTAAGGATAACAAAAAAAAAAAATGTAATATTACGATTTACGAAGCTTTGCGTTTTACAACTGCTGGACGAGAGAAGAAGGAGGACGGTCCATATACTGCAGCTGACCACAACTTCGAAAAAACGAAAAGGCTGGAGACTCCACAGTTTTCAAATTAACACAAACTACAAATACGAGGGTGAGTGGTTTAACAAAATGTAACTTTCAACTTTCAACTATAAGCTTTAGTAAGTTTCCTAAAAATGTGTGTCTTAATTTGGTCACGTATATTAGACACTCACTCAAATCAATGTAGGTACCTATATTCAGTAA